TATTCTTAACTGTGCACACCAAAATTTTTTTAACAAGAAAAACTTTTTCCTTCCGTTTGAACTTTTCAGCTATGAAATTTAAAAAAAAAAACTTTTATCTGTCACGAGTATTATTAGAATTTAGATATGGCAAATACACATTTTTCAGTAACAAATTTAACGAGTTTGACTTTACAGAAAAAGTTTTTTTTCTTATTCCCGTCTTCCATGATGCCATTAGCTATGTGCAAGTAAGTGAAATCGTTTTTCCATCGCTTTGTATCCCTGTAGCTTTGCTTTTATCTTTTAACATAGAAATGTTTGAATGTGTAGCCATATATTAAGGAGGAATCGAGGGTGAAAAAGAAAAGCAGTTAGAAAAGAAATAGATTGGAATCAATGACGGAGAACTTTAATGCTTAAATTTGAAAATATAGAAAAAAATGAGAAAATTGTACCAAAACCCTAAAACTTACAACTTAATGAGCAGATAAACTTTCATCAGTTTCGTGAATATTCAACGATTAACTTGTTACTCAACATTGGCTTGCTTAGTTTTAGGTTCCAAGTTGTAGGTTCTATGTAATGTCTAGTCATAGTGAAAAGCTAGTGCAGACATCTTGAACTTAACAACATTATTCAAATTTTTGACCATACCCATGTAATCAATCATTTAACAAATTTGAGGATTCTCTTCTTGACATAACCTCCATGAACTCTTCTATCCCATAAGCTCAATCATAAATTCTCTAAGTTTCATCCCAAAATTTACCATCACTTGACTCAAACTTTACTTCGGGTACCATTTGTTCATAAACTTCAGAATAAATTTTTTTTCTCGTTTTCGAACAAACAGAAGTGAAAAAAAAAAGTTTTTTTTTTAAAAAAAAAGGCATTAAACTGCAAATTTTACAGTTGAGTGGAATTGGCTCTATTTTCGACTGCAAAAGGGCACCTTAAAAGTTTTTACAGATTCAGTCATTTTTCTATTCACATTCTGATTTTTTAGAAAAATTCATTTCAAAATTCACACATTTTTTCTGTACATATGAAGTGCAAGTGGTGTGAATAGAGTGAGCATGTCCTCAAATAAATATATATTATTTGCATTTTTTCAAATGAAAAAAAGAGAGAAAGAACAATTGAAGAGTGGGGGGGATTTTGAGGTAAAAAGCTCTTTAAACACATTTGCATAGTTGATGATGATAAAAAATATTTTGCAATAAACAACTGTCAGAAAAGGAAAGAAGGGAAATTAATTTTTATAGCTATGATGTGAAATGTTTTCATTTTCCACATTTGCATGAAATGAAACAATTGTGCAATTTTTTATTATAAAAAATATATTTATTTCGTTGTTGTTGTATGTAGGAGGCGAAATGTACATGTTCATATCGAAACGTGAGCTTTATGAAATAAATTAATTCAGCATTTTGCTAGTGGAATAAGTTATCAAAAGGAAATGTTTCGATGAGGTTTATTGGGAAGTGGATTGACTGTCTGAATACCCTTAATATTTTTGTATAATTATATCGTTTCTTATAAGAGTAATCAGATATTTTTACTCAACACTGTCAAAATTGTAGTTTCGACCAGCTTCGATCAGTTTCGCCTGTAAATTCCTTACCTATTTTTCAAAAAGTGTTGAATTTTAATGTTACCAAAGACCTAAACAATTAGAAAGGTTTTGATCTACATACATATTTTTTTATATTCCTAGGCCAGAATCACTGCTTCAAATAACACTTTATTAGGCTTAATAGATTTTTCTAATGAAAGCCATCTTGTTGTTTTCGAACTCTTTCTCTCGATGATGCAATAAATCGTTTTCGATTAAAAAATGCGCTTATACTACTCAAGACTCAATTTTGATTCACAATATTCCAATTTTTCTTATTTGTACATTTCAATGATACTATCACGAATTGATTATTCATTTAAAGTCATGTGGAAATGAGCTTTTGTTTCATGCTGATTATTTTATTCATTTCTCCTTTCTGTACTTTGCATGTTGATTGAAATCTTACTGCGAGTTCTAAGATATCAAATGTTGTTTAAAGCTTTTGAAAATGAAGTAAATTTCTTTTTATTTATAGCAAATGTGTGGGAATATGCAAAGGTGTTAAATGGTACTCTCAGAAAATGAGTTTTACATGCATGAAATGTAATGAAAAATGAGCTATAATAACGAAAATATAAAACTGAATTGCTGTAAAGTTAATGGATGTGAAAGAGGATTCAATTTTTTTTTTGTGTATTTTATTCCTAAGTAGAGCAAAAGTACAAAGTCCACTGAATGGATATAAATGTGTAGAGAACTGAAAAACAGGCATAAAAATTTGATTGTGTTGCTGTCTAAAAATAAAACCCCATATAATAAATACATAATACATAGCTAAAATTGAGTTGAGAAGGAAGATGAAATGACTGGAAAGAAAGTATTAAAACAGATGATAGAATTTTTATGTTATACATATTTATCTTGCGTGTATGCATTATGACTGATTGATGTTCTTGATTCAAAAATTTAGTAATATACTCGAGGACTATCTTGAAATTTTTAATTCATAGTTTAAATTTCAATGAGCATTCCAAAAGTAAAAAAATTTCAATCGTGAAAAAACACTAATTACCATTATTTGGGATTCAACTACAAATTACAACATATTTCAGTAAATAAATTAACCATACTGAGTGCTAATTTTACAAGCTTAAATCATCAAAAAATGTATTCATACTCGAACTTTTTTAACAGAAATTAAAACCCAGTTCAATCTGGCAGCATAAAAAAATGTGTCACAATTGGTAATTAATAGCCGCCTCAACAACACCGATGTTTTCGGATGCAATTGAATAAATGAACAGTTGAACGATTGACATTAATAGTCGTACAAATCCATACGTGAATATTTTTTTTATCATAAAAAAATCGCGCATTTACACATTTGTTTGGTTCCCAATATTATTCAATCTCCTTTGCATTTCACAAAAAGAAGGACACAATTGGAACTACAACAAATAATAAAATGAAATACGAGGAAAAAATCTCACAATGATAAATAATGCAATGCACATTTTTAATTGCTTAATTGCACATGTCGTTTAAATGGTGAACAAATTTATTTAATTGTTTTTTATTTTCACAATTTTTTATTTTCATGCCCAACTCGAATTTCCTTCCAGAGTCCATACCCTCCCTTGACGATTTTTAATTTATTGTCCGACAATTAATTTGCATTAAATTTATTTTATTTTTTCATTTTTAACTGCAAATTTTTATTTAATTTCACACATTTGTCGTTGTTGGCAGTGGAATAAATTTTAGAAGTGGATGCTTTTATCGTACATGTACGAAAAATTGTATTTAATGATTTTTAAATTGCTTTTTAAGTGCAAAAGTTTATGAAACAGCGAGAAATTGTCAAACTTACAAGTATTTTTTCACTCAATTAAAAGTGACTTTATTGCTTTTTGATATCAAATCGAGAATTTTGTTTGAGAATTGCTCATGATGCATTAAAAGAACAATAGATTTTTTTAAAACAATTGAGTGCATTCTATAATACCAGATATGAAATTTTTCAATTCCTTTTTATGTAAAAAAATTCATTTTTTCCCTCGTAAATTTCATTTTTTTGTCCGTTTGTACTTAAATTTCGACGACTTTATTCCAAATTTGTTGACACAAATTGCAGGAGTCGTAAATATTTTTATAGATTTAGACCAGGTTTATATACTAATCTTGATGCGTCCTTAAAGGCTCATCAAATGAGCTCTTATCACCACATGCAGGTAAAAAGGATGTGAATAAATTGCAACATATCGTACCCAAAATCTTTCACAAATAAAATGTTTTTAAAAACGAAAAAATATTTGTGTATGGAAAATTTTTACAGCATCTGTGCGTACGTGATCTTTGCGTGCTTATAGATTTATTTGTGTTTGTGTGTCTTGTTGATCTCGGCAGTAAAAAGTGATTTTAAAGAACATGATATTCCTGTTTAGATTTATTGCAGGTTCTTCTTTCATTTCTTTTCTCTTTGTGCTATGTAATACAAAATAATGCAATTGTATAATATTACCCATTAGTGGTATTATCTTTTTAAAAGGAATGGTGACCCAAAAGATGGCAGGTTCTATTTTTTATTAAAAAAAAAACATTCGACTGTGTATGTTGATTATGCGATACTCTTGTTGTTGTGAATGGAAAATTTTCAAAATTTTGTAGATCAAAATGAGAACTAAGCCCCTATCAATTCCAATTTATAAAGCATCAATTATTTATTTTTATATTTAATATTTTTACTTTCTTTAAAATAAATAAAAAATTTTCATAATGCACAGCATATATTTTTAAAATCACAAAAATAAAAACATATGTTGACTGACATATCAGCTGATGAAATGAACAAAGATGAATTTCTACCTGCAGGAGATCCTTTTTAAAAACATGAGAACATATCTCTTCATAACAAACATATTTTTGAAATTTAATGCACCAAGCATCTGATGATCATGAGAGGGGTTCATGTGAACAAAATTAAAAATATTTTACAGTTTTTACGCAGTAGAATTTTTAAATTTTTTTGTCTGTAGACTGCATTTGTCATGCTGGATCCTAATCTAATGTATAGGCAGACGGTTTATAATTGTGATAAGTTACATAAATTGTTTGTTCTTAGTAAGAAATGATCACAAATAGTTTTACGTAATTTTCGAAAATATCCATAATAAATAAATAAATGTGTGAGTGTAACAACTTAAAACCCTTGTATTCTTCAATTTTCTTCTCACGCTTCATTCGTAAATAGTTAAAAATGTAAACTTTATAAATAGAACTCAAGTAGACTTATAAAATAATAATAAAACGTCATTTGACATCTTAATAGCTTAATCTGAAAATTATAATGTAATAATTTACAACAACTAGCATTTTTTTTGTTACAAAAATTATGAAGTCTTATGAATTTTTTTATTTGAAATGTATCGATTCATTACAAAAGTTTAAAAAATTAATGAGAAGTTACTTTATGAGAGGCAATAAGTAAAGAAAAAGTTTTAAAATTTGAATTTTTATCTGAATTTTATGCAGTCTTTCAATTGAGGTCCGTTCCATTTCCATTTACATCTTAGCGAAGACAGCTCCGAAGAAGGCGTCGAAGGTTGCTCCCCAGGCAGCTTCAACAGCAGCAGTGTAGTCAACATGTCCTTTAAGGTAAGCGATGAAAGCAGCACGGAAGTTGTTGAATTGTGCATGTGTAACTCCACGAGGCTTGTGTGTAGCAACCAAGGCATCAACATGCTTACCAATGTTTGGCAAGTCATCAATGACTCCACCCAAGAAACCGACAATTCTTCCAGCATGAGTTGAGAACTCAGCACCTCCTTTAATAGCATCGAGATCCTTACCAACGAATTGTGGGAATGCAGCTTGGATTGTTGGATCAGCTTTGAAAACGGCATAAAGAATGCCAACTGAGTCTCCCTTAACCTTTCCATATGTTGATTGGACAAGGCCAATCTGGTCTCCTGACAATGCTGAGGCAGCAGCTACACACAATGCAAGAATGATGAATTTCATCGTGATATTTTATGAAGTGTTTTGTGAAGTTACAGATTCAAATTCAAACAAGAACTAATTTGATCTAGAAAATGAATCTCTATTTATACTAGAAATTTTGGATAGCTTCTAATTGTGTTCGTGTAACTTGTTGTAAAGATGCATTTTTGTTTACCAACAAAGTCGGGATGCGTACGTGACCTGAACATATGTTTGAGGGGAAGTAATATGATCACTAATACAGATATGAGTTTGTTGTTGTTATTGTTTAGAAAATAAAGGAGAAGCACGAAATTTTGAGAATTAAATTTAAATTTAATTGAATTACTAAACTAATTGGCATTAAATTGAAGAAAAAATCATTTAAAAAAATACATTTATGCACAATTTTTTACAAATATTTATAAATATCCTAAACTGACAACTACATTTACAAGCATAATTTTTTCCTATGAAAGAAAGTGTATTTATATAACACAATCATATAATGTAAAATATGCACCCTACACGATTTTAAGACGCAATACTCATTTTAGTGTTGACAACATATAAAAATAAAAATATTTAAAAAATTGTTATGGAGTTGTTTGATTTTTTGATATCATTTAAAAAGCTTGAGAATTATATGCTTCACTATAAACAAGTACAATCAACGTTCTGAAATCTTTTCCAATAAGTCATAGGAAATTCAAGATAAAACAACAAAAATTTAAACCATAAACGATATTTTTTTTTATTTCCATGTTTGTCATAAATTAAGGCACTACTAATAAATATCATTGATATTTAAAAGATTTACATCTTGGCGAAGACCATTCCGAAGAAAGCATCAAGAGTTGCACCCCAGGCAGCTTCAGCTCCAGCGAAGTCGGTGTGAGCCTTCATGTAGCTGACGAATCCAGCACGGAAGTTGTTCAATTGATCATGTGTAACTCCACGGGGTGTGTGTGAGGCAACGAATGTGGTGACATCTCCATCAATGTTTGGAAGGTCTCCGATGATCTTTGAGAAGAATCCGACAATTTTGTTGGCATGAGCTGAGAAATCAGCTGATCCCTTGATTGAGTCGAGGTCCTTTCCAGCGAATTGTGTGAATTTGGCTTGGATTGATGGATCAGCTTTGAAAACGGCATAGAGGATACCAACAGCATCTCCCTTAACTCCAGCAAATGATGATTGGACTGTGCTGATTTGGTCAGCAGTCAAGGCTGAGGCAGCGGCGAAGCACAAGGCAAGAATGAGGAATTTCATTTTGATTGGTTTGTGAAGTTACAACTTTGAAACGAATTGAAGAACTGATTTACTATCGAAATTTGTGCTCCATTTATACTTAAAAATTTTGAGAAGACATTATTGTGAAAAGCTGTGAGATAAGAAACAACGTTATGCAATCAAAAGAGATTTTCTATTTTGTTTTTTTACTGTTTCAACCACATAATGATTAGTTAAAGTCAACAAACTCTAGAATAATTTGAACTTATTTAATTATTTCTTTTTCAATACTAGTGATATTCTGCTCGATATTCTGGAAAAAAAATTTCCATATAAATAAAGCTTAAACATACATTTCATTAAGTATAATCAATTTGAGTGCTGTTTTTAATACTCATTAAAGCTCATCACGTATCAAATAATTACCAAAATGAGCGAATTTCTTCTAAGCTTCTCAAAATTTTTAAGTATAAATGGAGCACAAATTTCGATAGTAAATCAGTTATTCAATTCGTTTCAAAGTTGTAACTTCACAAACCAATCAAAATGAAATTCCTCATTCTTGCCTTGTGCTTTGCCGCTGCATCAGCCTTGACTGCTGACCAAATCAGCACAGTCCAATCATCATTCGCTGGAGTTAAGGGAGATGCTGTTGGTATCCTTTATGCCGTCTTCAAAGCTGATCCATCAATCCAAGCTAAATTCACACAATTCGCTGGAAAGGACCTCGACTCAATCAAGGGATCAGCTGATTTCTCAGCTCATGCCAACAAAATTGTCGGATTCTTCTCAAAGATCATTGGAGACCTTCCAAACATTGATGGAGATGTCACCACATTCGTTGCCTCACACACACCCCGTGGAGTTACACATGATCAATTGAACAACTTCCGTGCTGGATTTGTCAGCTACATGAAGGCTCACACCGACTTCGCTGGAGCTGAAGCAGCCTGGGGTGCAACTCTTGATGCTTTCTTCGGAATGGTCTTCGCCAAGATGTAAATCTTCTCACTCATAGAGATATTTAGAACACCGCATTAATTTATGAATTTAGGAAATAAAAATCTATTCCTTATAACATCAAAACTGCATATGTGTCTTTGATTTTGTAATTACCAAGTTGTTTTCAGTGATAATAATTTTAATTAGGTTTTAGGATTGAAATTTTTTAAGAAAGAAGAGTTGAAGAAAATCACAAAACTTCAATTTTTGATGTCGACATAAGTGAACGACTGCATTTAATAATTTTGAACGTTTAAATGTACTAGAAAATTAGTAAACGTTAACATAAAACCGTAGGGATATTTTTCCAGCTATGTTTTAAACATGCTCTTTCTTAATATTTTAATTATTTTGCTGAAAAATTTTAAAATTGACCAATTTTGCTTACAAACCTAATGCTCAGAATTAATGCTCAGAACGCTTAAATAAAATTTTAATGTTAAAAGAATCTATTTGTAAATAATCTGCAATACATTAATTCATATAATGTACAATAATTGAGGCTTCCATTTTAAAATTAAAGAAAAAAATTTAACCTCTGAAAATCAAATCAAATTGTTATTTTTTGAATGCATTATCCTAATTATGCTATTACTTTTGATAAGAAGAAAATAAAAATTCTTGATATAATTGCTTTCTTAAAAATGGAACAGATTTTATTTCCTAAAGTTTTTCTAAGTCAATATGATGTTATTTTTTATGTTTATGAATGATATTCTTAAGATTTACATCTTTGAGAAGATCATTCCAAAGAAAGTGTCAAGAGTTGCACCCCAGGCTGCTTCAGCTCCAGCGAAGTCGGTGTGAGCCTTCATGTAGCTGACGAATCCAGCACGGAAGTTGTTTAATTGATCATGTGTAACTCCACGAGGCTTGTGTGAGGCAACGAATGTATTGACATCGGCTTCAATGTTTGGAAGTTCACCAATGATCTTAGAGAAGAATCCGACAATTCTATTGGCATGAATTTCAAATGGAGCTGTTCCCTTGATTGATTCGAGGTCCTTTCCAGCGAATTGTGTGAATTTAGCCATGATTGATGGATCAGCCTTGAAGACAGCATATAGGATACCAACGGGATCACCCTTAACTTTGTCGAATGATGCTTGAACTGTGCTGATTTGATCAGCTGACAATGCTGAGGCAGCGGCGAAGCACAAGGCAAGAATTAGGAATTTCATTTTGATTGATTTGTGAAGTTACAACTTTGAATGCAAACTGAATTGTTCTCAAAATTACATCTCCTTTTATACCTTGAAATTTGAAAAGCTCATTTGCACCAATTTGCACAAGCTCAAATTTTATTGATAACGTTTTAATGATTGCAATATTCACTTAAAATGTTTCATTAATCTTAAGTCATGTGACAAAAAGCATTTTTTATGCAATGAAAAAAAAATCTCAAGTGAGCTAATCGAAAGAATTTTGTAATCACATTTGTGATTTTCTTGCATTTTTTGTTTAATTTTAAATTTTAGGACTAGAAAAGAGGCACATGCCCAAATCTCTTTGCATCTCATCAAATTGAATTGTTTTTATCAGTCAAATATTCTGACCCGATTTTGCTCGTGTTTGTACCTTACTTATTGATGTATAAACATATGGCATAGAATTTTTTGAAACAGCTGGTGTTAATTATTAAAAAATATTTCATAATCGAAATTGATAAGGCAATGACCATTTTTTTATAAGAAAATAAATATATTTTTTCAGTGATTTGAAAGTACACGAGTATGACATGGTTGAATTGATTATCAGAATGTACTTTGAATTTATTCTGGCCTGATACGTTCAATTCATGTTCGACAGACTTATCGAAAGTCTAGGGGTGTTTTAATATGCACGTTCGAAAAATTTAAATTTGAAAAACCGTTACAATTTTTGGTCATTTTATTCAAGTTTTTGATAGTTTTGAAAACAAATTTAGCTATATTATGCTTATTATCAAATGATAAAATAATATTTTCATCTAAAATTCATGAAAAAATTGCTTAATTTAAGTTTTTAATATTTCCTAATTTTCGAAAATTTCGAACTGCAGGGTATGAAACTTCGAATTTTGCATGGCAGACAGACAATTAAGACATTTTTTTAAGTGTTCTTGGAAACTGTAACGGTCGAAACTCTTGAATTGTTCGTATCAGATTCTGGCAATTCTTATGATACATATGACAGAGTATAGATGGAAATGATAAAATGATGAATTTTATTTGATATTACATTTTGCTAAAATGTGTCCATATTAAAATGACAATTATTTCTTGACAAAAAAACTATATTTAGAAAACTGATAAGAAAGGATTGTCCTAACTTGCTTTATTTTTACTATTTACATTCGGAATTAGAAGCGTGAAATATGACGTAGATTTAATTGTTTTAAGTGTCTAATTATTAAAACTTGTCGATAGACTTAGAATTTTTTTGAATAATTTCCATAGTTTTTAACTAGGTTAGAATTTTTATATCAATGAAGATCAGTGAGTTGTTATTAATGTATAAAGCAGCACTTATTATTACGTGCCCAAATGGAAAGTATTTTCAATTGTTGATTTAATCACAAGAATTGTTTACGGTTGGCAATGCCTTATCATCTAAAATATTTTAAAAATAAACTTAATGCATTATGTTGAGTCCAAAAATTAGACTCTTGTATTCCTACTTGTAGAAAGTCACGTAATCATATTTTTGGAAGAATTATTTTTAACCTTTATGTTTACTGCTTTGTAAAATTTATTTTATTTTTTAACTTTTGTAGTTTGACACTTTGCGATATGCGGTGACAAAAATTATTCCTTAATTTCTTGTTTGCTTTCGTTAATTTATATTTGTGTTGATTATCACCGGGTATAATAAATATTGACCCAAGAGACAAATTACATGAAATTTATTGAACAACAAGTTACATAATTGCTGATAATTTGCTATTTGTGGGATATCGCTTAAAATTTAACAATTATTGAACAATATATTTTTAAAGCTGATTATTTTTGTTGTTGTTGAGAGAAGTTGAATCTTCTTACATTTTCACAGCTCTTTCTGCTTAATATAAGTCTAATGCAACTTTGTTTGTCGCTATCTCATGAATGTGAGATGTTTGCATTGCACGAGTTTCAAATTTTATATAATTTCATTCGTTATCCCAATTTGTCTGGAAATATTGTACACAAAAAAGGCTATTGAGGGGCAAATCTTATCTGCAGTATATTGCACACGATGTTCTGAATGTACATCTCTTTCGTCAGTGTATAACGATTTTTTGAAGAATATGATAATGCGAGATTATGTAACAAATGATGGATTTAAAAAAAAAAGTTTAATTCCACTCAAGAAAATTTTTTTTCTTACCAATTAGTCTTAATTTGGTGGTTCTATTTTAAAATAATATCTTTCCTGGCAAATTGAAGATTTATGTTTTAAATATTAATGTTTCAAAAATGAGGTAATTTGCTTATAAAAATTCTTCTGATTGTCTTAAGATGTATTGATGGAGCTATGAACCTAAGATGATTAGCTTAAAATACGCGATTGCATTAATCCAGTTTATTCTAATAATTTTTGTTCAAAACAAAATAAACAATAATTTTGGTGTATTTATAAACACCGTTATGTACAAAAACACAACGGCACTCGAAATCATCTTGAAATTTTCGAATGTTATCAACATTTTGCACTCGAATGACATAATTATGTACATGCAATCAAACTTCATTATAAAGATCATCAACGAGTGTCTACAAAAACTTTTTCAAATTTCAAGGTATAAAAGGAGATGCAATTTTGAGAACAATTCAGTTTGCATTCAAAGTTGTAACTTCACAAATCAATCAAAATGAAATTCCTAATTCTTGCCTTGTGCTTCGCCGCTGCCTCAGCATTGTCAGCTGATCAAATCAGCACAGTTCAAGCATCATTCGACAAAGTTAAGGGTGATCCCGTTGGTATCCTATATGCTGTCTTCAAGGCTGATCCATCAATCATGGCTAAATTCACACAATTCGCTGGAAAGGACCTCGAATCAATCAAGGGAACAGCTCCATTTGAAACTCATGCCAATAGAATTGTCGGATTCTTCTCAAAGATCATTGGTGAACTTCCAAACATTGAAGCCGATGTCAATACATTCGTTGCCTCACATAAGCCCCGTGGAGTTACACATGATCAATTAAACAACTTCCGTGCTGGATTCGTCAGCTACATGAAGGCTCACACTGACTTCGCTGGAGCTGAAGCAGCCTGGGGTGCAACTCTTGACACTTTCTTCGGAATGATCTTCTCAAAGATGTAAATCTGTTCACTTTTAGTGATACTGCAAAAAACTCAAATAACTAGGAAATAAAATCTATCCATTTATGCAATTTAACCACAATTGTTTTCTATGATTTGAATGACAACTTCCTTTACAGCAATTGGTATTTTTTAAATTTGCGTGAGAATACAAAGGTTGAAAATGGTTTTAAAAATTCAAATATTTTGGGGATCTTAGGTATTCCTCAAAACGATATAATACAACTTCAGAGGTTGGCTGGATGTATACTTTTAGGGGTGCTTTCGAAAACATTCAGTACAATTTAGGCGTGTCTTTTTTCAAATCATTTTATTTTAAATTTTACCAGTACACATCCGTACATATCCATCCTATCCTCATCATTTTGTGTGGGGCCCGGGAAGATGCCTATTAATTGATATTTACCAGAGAAATCAAACCTTATTTTTAATTGAGATTTATCGAGCTTTGGGTTTTAATCAACATTCGTCTGATTCCAACAAAATCGAACAAATAATCTTGTAGCAAATCATCAAGAATTCATTATTCTAAAATGCACAAACAAATAGATCGAAAGAAACTTTATCTCGTCCCCAAAAATTATTTAAGTATTAATCTTATCGATATTTTATGAAAACAGAGCATTTCCTCAAATCTGAAAAAGCTGAAAATGGAATAAAATTGTCATATTCAATTAAAAGTCCATTATGATTTCATCTATCAATAGATTTCCACCATTTGTTTTATTTACAGAATAAAAAAAGAATTTAATATATTATTTTTCGTCCTTTTCTTCTGAGCATTTACAATTTTTTTTTTCATTTTCACAAAAAACTTTTTTATGTCTTCCTTAAAAAATATGTTTTTGATTGAGTTTTTCTTTCTTCCGTTTTTCTTTATTATTCTGTATTGAGAATATTTTAAGAATAGGAAATGATTTTTCGTCTATCGGAAGGAAAGAGGTGTGTAGGGGTGAGAAAGAAGGATAATAAGAGAAATAGGTATCGAAATAATAAAAAAGCTTTTGGATCTACAAGAATATTTTTCAGAGTTGGGGGTCTTTGAGCATGTCGTGGTACATTTTTAATTTGGTTCCTCGATTCTTATTAATTTCTAATCTTTTTAAAACACAATTTGAATTTCTTTGGAATGATAGGTTGGCGGGGGGGTTAGGGGTGTTATAAAATATAAGTTTTTAAGTCACAAAGACAGAATTAATGCTCACACTGATTTAATAATAAAAATCTACTGATCATCAAATCATTCTTATCTTCCATCAAATTTGCCAACTCTGAAAAAAGGAAAATTTCGGCACAGAATGGAAAGAAATTGAAGAGGTAAAAGCAATTGTGATGGAAAAAATCAATATTTGTATAAAAAATGAAAACCATAGAAAATTAATAGAATCGAATGAAAAATTATTTTCACTCAATAGAAATTTTTTTTCTTCGTCGCTCACGTTTTTTTTCACTTATTTTGTTAAACACTTAAAGCACATCAAAATGCCGCTGATTTGAAGAACTTGATTGTATCAAGTATTCAGGTTATGGAAAGAGAACTGTGTGTGGGTGGATTTGGGGCTGTTTGGCGTTTTTTTGTGTGAAATTTTACGCGCTTAAATATGTAATTATGATTGTAAATGTAATAAGAGGATAGTATGAAAAAGTTTTTCATGTGGAAATGCAATGTTCAGCACTCCATAAAAGCCTAATTATGTTTACATATTCATTGAGCTGTCTAATTGGCGGCAAAATCGTTATGTTATGTCTTTATAATCATCATCACTTTTTTTCCTCCCCCACATTCGTACACACAATCATGCTTGCAATCTAGAAAAAAATGTTATTTTTTACATGTGATGACTCCATTCTCCATATTATTAATAATGCACACATTATTTCACATTTTAACGGTTCGTTAAAGCGACGACGACGCTTTAAATGATTTCATTCTACCGCGTTTACATCCATTTAATGAGAGAGTGAGTGAGAAACAAAAACATATTTACACAATGTCTTTTTTACGTCATTTTATATTTACAAATTTTTTTTTATGTACATCGGTATGTACAGAGAAAAATCAAGGATTGGATGGAGGAATGTGAATATCAACAGACTCGATTTTGTGCTCTCGTATGTGAGTTTTATTTATGTCTTTTTAATTTGAGATTTAAAGATTTTAAATCCATTGAAATTTTTATGGATAATTCATTGCATGAAGAGGGATTTTATGCTTGATTTAATGGATTACTCGGATTATTCTGCAACGGTTGTATTTTAATTGTGTTTTATTCCAAAGAGAAGAAGTCACATATATCCGTGTATTGTCAGTCAGTCTATCTGCGTCTCCTTAAGTTTGTCTTACCAACTTCATAACTGTAGTTCCAATATAAGTCAGTCTACCCTACTGTCGATTAGTCAGTTAGACTGTCTCTCAGCCTATTTGTCTATTCAATAGACAGCCTATCCAAAGTTATCTACATCACATATTAAGCCATAAAAATACCCTCACAAAATTTTCAACTTACGAGCTTCACAACTAGTTTTAGTTTTATTTTTATTTTCAGAAAGCTTTTAAAACATCCGTCACTCTTATGCACTTGTATCTATCAACATTAAAGTCAGTCTTACATCACATCAAAAAATAAAATCTTAAAAGTCTCAAATCAAATTGACATATTGCCTCTCCATAGAAAAAATTACTAATGACTAATCTACACGAATGGGTTATGCTACACATTTTTCGAATGATTATATCCATTAAGTCCGCCATTAGTATGAATTGTCTCATTTTTTTCAACACCATTTGCCTCCCAATTGATGATAACAGTCTGTGGTTGATTTGTTTGTTGAGGAGATGATGGCTCTCGGTAGTTGGACGAGCTGCAGCATTTTCTGTAGATAATATGGACAAAAATAGACATTATTGAATATATACATGCGTAGATGGGTGGGAATAGACATATGGAAAAGTTGACACAATGAGTTTATTAAGTGTTGATTTATGAGCATCAATTTGATACACAGAAATGAACATTAATATAAACTTTTAGTAGCTGTTATGTCTACGTCTACATACCTCCATAGGATAATTAACAGTACGAAAAATATGAAGCCAAAGCTTCCCACTATTGCTGCTAGAATTGGAATGTCATATTCATTCGTTGATTGCCTCAATAATGGTTGAATTGTTTCGCAATTCGGTTGCAATGTTATCTGTGAGCAGAATAAGTGAGAATTGCAATTAGATTAGAAGCTATAGGTGGATATTCATTTTATTAAACTGTTAATGATGATTATTATGCGACCTGAGTGCTACTCATTAGAACCAGCATGAGACACGTTTTGAAAATTAATTTTTCTTCACGAATGTTTATGATCAGTCAGTAGATGAGTTGAGTGCCGTTTTGTACAAAAGTTGTGGTTGTTTTAAACACAATTTATCAGCAGATAGATCAATGAAATACATTAAAGAAGAAAATTTGACGACGAGATTTGGAAACTACAGCAACAAAATCAGTTTATTCGACTCCTAAATCCTAATAAATGCATTAATGCATCCATAATGTACAAAAACATACAGCTCAAGAATAAATGTTCCACCCTCATTTCAACATGCCTTTAACTTTTCCTCTCACTGTCGGCTTCACTCATAAAAACAATAAAAGCAACAAAAAATAAATCATTAAGCTTTCGACACGTCCTTTTTGTCGTCCAATTGTTGAAACAAGAATGAGGGGAAAATGCCATAGAACAAGCGACTGACATTTGATTTATTCCCAAAATCCCCGACATCATTTTTTAAAGTGCCTTTTTTAACAGCGCTCGCGACAATAAGAAACATTAATTAATAAAAATCATGCCATCAAGCACCGTATACAAAAGGCTATGAATAGCATGAGTGTGGAAAAAAACGAGACTCTGTATATACCGGCAGTAGGAGTCGTATAAAGAATTAAAATTAATGCTTTTCGCACACAGGCACATGAGCACAATTCTTGCAGATGAATGAGGAATTCATACTCCTGTTGTACATATGTATGGCTTACTTTACGAGATGCTGAATGTGATCCGAGCAGTATGCGACGTGGATTGATGATACTCGAACTTGCTGCTTGCACATTTACTGTGTAGACATTGTATGTTGTGAGATTTTGAATAATTATCTGTACATCAAGACACGAGAAGAAGCATGGAAAGAGAAAAGAAAAATCAATTTAGTATAAAAGCTACCGACTGGTTGACTCGAATGCTGCATTTAATATTAAAGATTACTAAACCGGAAAAATTGCTTTAATCATGAATTTTCAGCATATATGCTTATAATCATGAAAATGGTTATGTAACAGAGGCTTTTCATCATACCAAAGCTTTTATGACATCATTTCGTCTCTTTTTCATGATTATAGCATCATGTTACGAGAAACGGTTCATAATTACAAAAGGATAAGGTGCAAAGCTCAAAAGGTGATGTTGACGGGTGAGAAAAAGGAGATTGAAAGTGAAAACTTGAGAGATTCTTTTTCGCTTAAAATTTAAGGTTTTAGGATGGTGAACTGTTTAAATTTTATTGAATGTTAAATTTAAATTAAATTTTGTATAAAATTGGGAATTTCGGGGACATCATTGGGAGAGGTTGCTTAGTAATATATTGATTCTCTAGATCCTACTGTAAGGTTTTCTAGCCATGACATAGTTAAGGTCTAGGAATAGGATAGCTCTAACACGTTCAAATTCTTTAAGCTTAATCTTTGTGTGCTCATTCAAGTTCTAATTACATTAAAAAAGTGTTTTCTCGTGAAAAGACTTAATGAAAATTGAGGATCAAAAACACTTTGAAATTTTACCCTTCGAAAAAGTTGAATGACATCGTCAATGTCATTATCAGAATATAAAAGCTTTTTCATTCATGACATATTTTATCAGATTTTATCATAAAATTATATAAAATATTTCACTTCTTCAATTAAACAGCATCATGTACTTGTTGAATGAGCACTTTCTACATGAAATCATCACCACTAACGGGGCGATATATATGTCTCTCAGATGTCCACCACTTTACCCATTCCCTCTCTTACTACCCCAAGCAACATCAGCAAATGAATTATTCAAATAAAAATGAACAGCATAAATTTTTTTTTCTGTGGTTTTCATACCGCCGTTTCTGGATATGATGACGATGTATTAAGTTGTATTTGCTGATAGTTGCTATATGAGTTCTCTTTATAATTTATCACATAAAAGTCTATCGAATTATAGAACGACGTCGGTCGTCGCCATTGCAAAAAGATCGCATCCTGTGAATGGCATGTTAAATTAATTATTTGCGGTGCACTCGGTCCGGCAATGTCTGTTCGTTGTATCACTGGATCTGATGGTTCGCCATCATATTTGAGTGTAAATGCTATAACTATTATCTTATATTCTGTGTATGGTTCTGAATGGAAATAAAATAAGAGAGATAGGACATCATTAGACATTAATGTTATTGAGTTTGTCAATGATGACATGGATATACATAAAAGAAAATCAAAGAGAAAAACTTACTCAAATTAATTAATGTATAATGAAATGGAGATCCAACGGAAGCATCATTCTTGAGCATTGGCAGATGCAAGAGCGTTTGATTTAGAAATACATAGTACACTCGGTATGCATGAATGACACCATTTGGACGCTCTGGTTCGTGCCATGATATTTTTATTGTCGTTGATGTTATGTCGAGAACTCGAACATTTTGTGGCTTTGACGGAACTATGTAAATGATTGAGGGATGGGTAAATTGAATTGTATGAAGGAAAAGGAAGAAGAGAAATGATTGATTAACTTTTGGTTAAATTATGAACTTCATTTTCATGTTGACTGTAACATCAGTTGCTATATAAATCATTAAATTTTATTTCCTTCTTGGCAACAAATTCTTCCTTGTCGCGTCACGAGTTTTACATAAAAAATATTGAATTTTTAATAGGGATGTTATTCTTGGGTATCTGCTTTGTCGATGGTTGAACGCTTAAAAAATGTTGAATTTTTTGGAAGTCTCTCCCGATACAACTTATTATCAGGACATAGAACATATCCAACGAGATATTGACGTCAATCCACACAACTTCTTATGAAAAATTGCATATAAAAAGAAGTTCCAAGTCGAAACATTTTCATTTGATTTCCCATTTCATTCAAGCGATTAAATTACTTGGTACAAAAGGAAGTCTTCTTATTTTTTAAGACATGAGAATGAACACCTGTGAGCTTTTGATAAAAAAATAAATTTTCCACCATTTGATGTTCGGAAAAAGTTTTTAAGAGAAGAAATTTTTTTATGAATGAAAGACGATAAAGAGAAGCTTCTCATCTATAAAGAAAATATTTAAATGAATTCAGTGAGTTATTATGATAAGAATTTATATTTTCATCCTCATACATACGCTCGAATGAATGATTGCCTTTGAATGGGATAAAAAAACTGAAAGCTTATAAAAAGATTGAGAAACTTTATTGAGGTTTGTAAACTTTTTTTTCGTACATGCCGACATGTTATGTTCAGGGAATGGTAATACTTTAAAGGTAATTATTTTGGTCCAAACCAATATTTAAAGTTGAGGAAGAAGCAACTGAGGATGCTTGACTTGTATTATTTTAAGAACAGCTATGTTTGAGGGTCAACTGATTTTTATAACTAGCGTAGGAAGTTATTGAAGTTGAGATGAAGTTGAGATGAAAAATGGTAATTTAGAATTAAATATTTTATTCTGCGTACTTTTTTACCTTATTTCCCCCCAGGGAAATGTTTCCACCCACTGCAAAATTTTAAATGAGAATATTGGAAAATTCATTGAATCATAAAAGAACCTCGTGAGGATAAATTTTTAACAACAAATTTACTTTAAATAATAAGGATTGAAATTTTTTTTATTCATCAGGCGGAAAAAAGAAAAACTTTTTTCATTTCAATGATCCCAAATTCTTTTATCTTGTAAATATGTTTATTGAGAAAGTTCTTTATTTTGCTTAGATTTTATGATTAAATGATGAACTTTTCTTTTAAAGATTTTTTTAAATTTTTTATAAAGATTTCATTACGAATGATTTGCGAATGACAAGGGATCTGAAAAGGTAGAAAATCTGCCGTGGGGTCTTGTCATTAGTTAAGTATTTTATTTGTATCAGGATTTGTAAAAAATACGTTGAGCCTGTTTGTTGCCAATCAATGCTTGTGAATCAATGCTTGACTAAGAATAAACATGTAAAGTTTCTTTTAATCTCCATAAGTAAGTAGGAAATTAATAAAATTGATACAAAATCAAGGAATTTATATTCGCTTGTCAAAAGAATGTCGAATAAGACCATTTGTCAAATTCAGAAACGATTATTGCTATAATTTCGATGAGAATTTATTAAGGTCATTGGAGTAGCACATGTGATACTTTGTGCGTTGGCTGGAAACATATTCTCCATTTGCAATAAATAACATACAAGCATGTCATAATATCACGCATATCTTAACATAAACAACGAAAAAAGCTGTAAGTGATGAATTTTATATGTCAAGTGGTAGATTAACGCGCAGGAAATTTACTTAAGTGGAACAAAATATGATGATTAAAGCTATTAATGTCAAGTTGCATATTATTTTCAGAAACATTAGTTTCAACACGAATGAAGTGATGTTTATTAGTCCGTCGATAAGTTTTACGGCCTGTTTCACTCAAGTGGATTATCCTCGATTTCGGATTATCCACTTCAGTTTTTTGTAAATATCTTAAATTTTATGGAAGGTGTGGTATTTCTAATTTTGGATTATAATAGTGTGAAGTATGCTTGAAATTTCTGTATACTTTAAACCTTTGCTTTTCGTTAAGATTTATTAATTATTCAATTTTCTAGCCAAATCTAGTAGATTAACTTCGATTTTTGCTATAATTCTAAAACTAATGAAGATATAAAAATTCTAAGTATATGTTAATTTAAGTAGCAAAGTACTCTATCTATATCACACATTAGATCTCTTAATAACCTTAAGCGTCTGGAGATATTTCCAAAAAACTGAAGTGGATAATCCGAAATCGAGGATAATCCACTTTAGTGAAACAGGCCGTTAAAGATTTATTTGCTTAGCCTTTTTCTGTCAATCTGAACTTATTTTTGGTTTCAAACGAAGTAATTCAAAAATAATGTCCTTAAAAAATTAATAATTTGAATCCATTTTGACATTATAATGCATTTTACAGCAATGATCATACAGTATCACGCGTCGGCAGAATTGTTTTTGTAGAAACCATTTGTGAGCAATTCCACATTTAATTTAAGAATAACAAAGTTGGAAATTCAATTTAATTTCATCAACAATTTCACAAAGCAACAATGTACATTGCCATTGCCAGTGACACAAACGCCACTCACAATAGAATTTAATTATATCGTCAACATGAAAATTCCAGTTTCTTAATGCTACAAAGAACTGTTACTATGACACTTACCGCCCTCATCAGTCATAATGAGTACAGTGCTTGATGGTCCAGGACCCTGTTTGTTAATAAAAATAGAATCATTTTAATTTCATACAAAAAACTTTTTATAAGAATAAGAAAAGAAAATCACATTTCAATCAAAAATTAATTTAAATTTTAATGAAACTTGGCAGTGCAAAATCAACAAGATTTAATTTTCATTGTCAATTATTTTTTCACTTTCATGATGAGACATTGAAATTAATGTGTTGGAAGTTAAGTAAGCGTATAGGTGGCAGAGTTGGATTGGATTATTCTGTTTACATAGCAGATGAAAAGATGTTAAGACAATTTTCTATGTTATGTTTTGTAAATATGCTTTAAAAATTATTTATATAACTATTATAACACCAACCCTACACAAAACCTCCACCAACTACAAAAGAACTCAAAAACAAGATTTCACCCGCTATGTTTTCCCAAAAATTAATCAAAAACCACCAAAGTTTTACGTGATATATATCACAGTCGTCAAAACCTTTACAGAAATACGAATCAAAACATACCTCAGGGTTGAAGACTTGTACCGACACCAAGTATTGTGTAAATGTCTCGAGATTTGTTATTTCATGACTCTAAGAAAAACGAGAATTGGAAAAAGGAAAGAAATAAATTAAATTTTCTTCATTCAAGTCGTCAATTCTGTTGTTTTGCTTTATTTTCTTTTTTCCCTAATGCGATTCTATTCTTCCTTTTGTTTTCGACCTCAGCGCGCGGCTTACTATAGAGTAGCGAAGGCGGCAAAGGATCGAGATGCAAGGGAAAAAATAGAAAGTATCAGCAAACAGAATCATAACTCAAATTAATTATATTATGTTCATAGAGTCCCTCCGAGAAAAAAAAGTGAGAACATACCTCAACACTACTATCTCTTATATAAATCTCTTTAATATCTTCTGGTTGTTTGTCACGAGCACGATAAGTGATTCTATATCCGAGAAATTCGCCATGTATTGTGTCGAGTGTAGGCGGCTTCCATGATATCCTCACTGATGTTGATGATGTGTTATGTGCTAAAGTGAATAAGATATATAGAATGGGAGGATTGAGTATATTTTTGTTCTTTACTGCAGTTGAATAGAGAAGATTATGCTTCCTCAGATACGTATAATTACTTTACGATATCGTATATACAATGACACTCACCTACAGTTGTTGTTGGCTTGCCCACTGGTGCTGTAATTTAATTAAATGATAGAAACTATGTTAACATAATTTGCTTTGTGTGAATCAGTTGAGGATATGAAAAGAGCTGTGTAGTTATGGCAAAGCTTTATCGTCATAAGATGAGATACCCATATCCATATTGAAATTTAATTAATGGATATTTTGCATGTGAAATATACAAAAGATTGCAACATCCTGTAATTATTTATTGAAAGGTGCAAGCTGAAGGTAAATTATGTTGAAAAATATTTTGGAACAAATAGCACAATTTCACACTTTCTTGGGATGTTCATAATTGTTGTCATCAAAAAAATTAAATGCTTTGGGATGACATCGTTTGATTCTTTTTATCTTAAAAAATAGACAACATTTGTGGACGACTCCACAATTGAAACTTCCACATACTACAAAGTCGATCATTACAGTTCTATCAAAAGATATTTCCCTTAATTACAGACCTAACATGGAAAATCAATTCCTTATACAATCAAAAATGCTCAAGTCTCTCGTGAAAGTAAACAATCAAGCAGAATAAACTTTTAGCCTTTAATTAACATATTCCTCATTTGTATTGCTATCCGGATATATCAACCGATATGACTCAATTACACTTCAATTCCCCATACATACCTTCACGTAATGTACAGATGTAATACGATTCCTTCGATGGTAAACTAATGCCTAACTTATTTACTGCTAAAATACGAAAACTATAAACAGTGAATGGCAGTAATTTTCGTACGACATATGATGCTTCACTGCCATTTGTGTGAACTTCTGGCCACTCATCCCAGGCACCATTTTCGCCAACCCTTTTTGAATTTTACAGGAAAAAAACACACAAAAATGGAATTTTATTATCATTGTTATTATATTTTCATGTCAAGCAAACCAAAAAAAAAGTGAAAAAAGTATGGGATGGAAAATTGATTTTGTGACATTCCTAATAAAAAAGTATGAGTTAATGAAAAAAGGATAGGGAGGAAAGAGCTTGCGGTCATAAACTGATAAATTATATTTTTGTTAAAACTTTCTAGCCGTGTTGTTATCACCACCGTAATCTTTCAACGTATAAGCATAAAAAACTTTTTTTTTTCTTGAGAACCATAAGAACCAAAGATGTTGTATTTTTTGGTGTTGTTGCTGTTGCTGATGATTACGGTCTTTATAAACACACTTTTTTGGGAGGGAAATCGAAAATTTTCTAAGATTTTTGTTTTGAAATTTCTGGCTTGAACGCATTTTAATGCTTTTAACGATCTAGGTGTGAGCTTAAATGCCAAATTCCATACCTTTGATATGACAAATGAAATGCACATTCATGTGACCTATTTGATAAGGACTTTTAGTAATTGAAAAATTAGTGTCAATGCTGATTTTTGTATTTTATGAATCTGAATTTAATCTTATCTGCATTCATACAGCAACTCTAAAAATTATAGAGACTCCCTTTACAACAATTTCGGAACTCAAAAACACAAGTAAAAAGAATCGTTGGAAATAAACTCACAGACATAATATACCCAATAACACTATTTCTCTCACAAAAACAACCATCTAAAATGGGAATGGGAAGAAAAAATAAATTGGTGGCAGCATGTGTTGTCGTCATTGCTTGTTATTGCCGGATACGATTACATACCAAGGTAGTTTCATAATTTTTGATGCGTCAAGTGTTTATTTTCTCCTGTTCTTAGGAAAAAAGCTTGTTTTTGACATGGCACCGAGAGAAAGTGAATTCTAGCAATAAAAAATTTTTTATGTCTTGCATCGGAGCTATAATGACTAAGCGAAAGTAGATTCTGTGTTAGAATCATTTTTTCTTCATATTTTATATACCAGATTATATCTTAATGTTTTCATTTTATAAAATTAGGTTATTCTTACATTTGAATAAAAAAAAAAGATTTAAAATTATATTTATCCAGATTGTTGGATTCAACAATACTTATTTCTTTAATTTTTTTATGAATAGACTTGAAGGATTGAAACAGATTATCATCTTTAGAAATTAAAAAAAAAACCAAACGATATAATTAAATAAAATTATCAACTTGACTTTAGTATAACTTTATAAAAAGTGCGCCTTTATTAATACAAGTAGTCACTTTATAATGAATGACGAAGAAGGAAATGGAAAACTGTCGACAAAAGGAAGTGAAATGAAAAGCGAAGAAGAAAAGGTGAAAAGGAACAAAAGTCTAAGGAAAAATCTCTCTTAATATCTTTATTTTTTGGTGCCCCTGCTGAAGTAAACAGCCAAAAAACGCATAAATCATAACTGCGAGAACGTGTGAGCTGGTGTGGAAATTGAGAAAAAAATTCAAAGAATGGAGGAAAAAGGCAAAAAAGCACATTCGAGTGTTATGAAAGTAGGTACGGTACATAAGCTTCTCTACTTCTTTCTTTTCTACCATCACCTCATTCATTCAGAAAAGGTATAGGAATGAAAATGAGAAAGGTATGGAAAGGACATGGCATAAGAGGTATTGTATTTATGAAGCGCGACCTTCGCTATCAAACATACATACAACAGCATCAGGAGAAGTTGTAGAAATTATATCAGGTGATAGGTATAGCAAAAAAGGAGATAAGTTTTGTGATAAGGCGCATTTTTTGTAAATAGTTCTATTTATTTTGCCTTCATGCTGTTCAACTTCTTTTTTTACTGGGGACTCTATGCCTCTATGTTCCTCTTTTGACATCTTTTGAATGTCACAATAAAATTTTTAATCCATCCAGACACTCAGTCACATTCTCATCGCAATAATAAGTGGACCTCTAGAACAAAGAAAAAATCTCAAATTTACATTCCCAACCACATTCGACACTTTATGCATGAATATTATGCCGCACATATAACACACATTCACATCTCTCGCTAATGATCCTGTCATGCGTACGCACTTAAAAAATTTAATATGTGTGTTATATTAAATTATTTGTATAGCAATAAGCAAGAAAAGAAAGGAAATGGAAAGAAAACACTTTGCATTCATTCCTCGTACAATTTTTTATTGAGCAATTAAAATATTTACGTAATAAAGGCAATGCACAAATGATGTCAAATGAGTGAGAATGAGAAATATGACGGAAATAAAAAATTTAAATTTTTTCACTCGTGATTATTCTTTACTCTTTGTTATTCCAAGTCTTTTGTCACGAAAGTATTAAGTGATTTTTGTTCTCCTTTTTGAAGCTTTTTTATGCTTTTTTGGAGAATAAGTGGAATGAATCAGGAATAATAAGCAAAAACTTTGTTGGCTAGGTGCAACAATAATCCTTTTGTGAAGTGGTCTGCAGCTTTAAATGAATAAGAGGAATTATTATGTCTACATTGAAGATAAACAGTAGATTAATGTGATGTATAAAGTAGCTTTGTACTTTTAGAGAGGATTTTTATTTATTTGTAAAATTTCTGTACTTTGAATGACGATTTGTAGCGACTATGAGTGTCTATTTCAGAAGCTTTTCGTTTATGTACGTGACGAATTGTATTGGAATTAAATAATCTTAAAGAAATATTTTTAAATTGGATAGTCTTGCTTATGTGTAGTCAAAATCTGTCGTAAGTCTAAATATGCAACATAGCTGATGGCAAGTGTTCAAGTCACTCCTGGCAGGCTTAGGATATTTACTTATAATACGAAGAATAAGCTGCAATACTTCATTTTCACCAATCATTACAACCAATTTTTAAAAATTACAAAAACAAAACATGATAAGAATCTTTAATTACCATGTCATAAAAAACTGCACGAAAAAACTCAGCAGGAATCACATCACTCATAAAAAATTCCCTTTAAAAAAGGAACGCACATTTCATTACACTTTTTAATCATATCAGGATACGAGAAATACAAAAAACTCGCTTCCTTCGCTAGCTCGTCAGTAAATTTGGTTTTGTAACATAAACGTAGGCAAGTTACAAGTGAGAAAAAGAAAAATTATTCCGAAAACGGCGGCAGCAACAAACAACAACATTATTTACTAGCTGTAATAATTATAATGATTATTGTTATTATTATTATTATTATTTGAACGAGTGAAATAGAGGAAAAAAGGAAAGGTAATTAAACAGAAATAATGATAGCGATTTTGCCTTGTTATGTGCCCGTGTTGCGAGTTACGAGGGGCCGTATATTGAGCAAAATGGGAAGGTAATAAATGTTACCTTATCTGTATGATGAAATCTATGACAGGATCATTTCTTGAGTCCTGTAAATGAGCCCACGATAAATTCACTTGACGAGATGTAAAATACGTGATTAATGGACGTTCTGGTGGAGCAGGTACGTCTGTAAACATAAAAGAGAGAATAAGAATGAGAAATGATATCAATACAACAAAATTCTTTAACTGCGTGCTTTGTGTCCATTTGTTGTATGTATGTGATGATGATAGGAAAAGTTGGATAATGTAGGAACACACAATGGACGTAAAAGCAAGCAGTAGAACAAACTCTATTCTTTAGTAAATAAATCGTTCATTTCAAGTATTTACCTTGAATCAGTAGGTCAATTATTGACTCAGGACTGTGTCTATCATTTATAATACAACTATATTCACCCGTATCTGTTGATACGGTTTTGTTGAAATATAAACTATAATTATCAGTCAACAGGCTTATCTGTAACGAAATAAATAAGGAGTTTCTATGTCAGTTAGATCAAGTATCATTGCTTTTTATTTTCTTCTCCTCTTGTTGTTTGTTTGATAAAGTTCAGAGATTAAAGATAAATGAGGATGGATGAATCGAAGAAAGTGGGTGATTCTACTTCAGAATCATTTATTTGCAGTGATTATTGACAGACTAGTCAATCTGATTTAGGTTTATTTGTATAAATTTCATGATTAATGTTCAATCTTTGATTTCATGAGGTTATTTAAAGGAGGAAAAATTGTGATGTCATGACCCCCCCATACTGCCATACCAATCAACAATTTTTTATTACATCAAATTTTTATCATCGTTTATGAATATTATTTTCCTAGAATTTTTCATAAAATAAAAGAACATCAACAAATTCTGCCGGCTATGCATAAGGAGCTTCCAAGAAAAAAAGTCAACGTTTCAATCTTCGTTAAGGAAAACACAATTTAACATTTCAACCCCTATATGATGCCTTATCATTCTCGTCGATCCTAAAATTTCTTCCTTATTTTTCTTCGTTTTTATTTTAAAAAAATTTATCATTAAAATTTCCACTTTTTTAAATTTTTTTAAAGGTTCATGCTTAGAAATATTGAATTAGATCTGGAGATGTGAGCCTTCCTTAATTTAAAAAGTAATTAATGAAAAGCTATATAAAAGGATTACTTTCAAAATCACTGAAAACCTTCTGAATCATTTAGTAAATATATTAAAAATAAATCTACTTACTCTTAGGTTATTAACCATTGGCAATCCATTTACAAACTTTAATAATGTCTGTTGAGATTTCTTCCATACAAGTGTGTCGATTAGCGAGTGCTCATTTACGCCCGGACACGTTAATGTAAGATTATATCCCGCCGTAACAGAGATTTGTTTCATAGGTATGTTTTCTTCATCTGAAAACGTAACAAAATACAGAGAAAAAAGTATTAACATCAGCAAAAAGTGTAAATGAGTTCCTGAGAAAGTGAAAAAAAGAAAGAACATTGGGTGGCATGAATGCTGCTGTTATCGCAAACACTAAATATAAATTGTGTTTTCGTTTTTCTCTTTTTCCATGAAATGTTTTATAAATAAATATAATTTGAGATTCTGCTAAAGACAGTCATCATTTCCCTTGAAGAGAATCAAAATTGCTTGCTGATTCAGAAAATTTTTGTGCTTATTGAATAACATTATTTAAAGATTTTTTTTTTTCATATTCAAACAATGTGCTTTCTTATTATTATTTTTCTAAATGACTGGATGGCTATCAAGTTTGACTTTGATTTGTCTGACTGACTGATTATTAAGTTAACTTTATTAATTGACATGACTGTTTCGATTTATTGCTGAAGTATTAGTTAAACAGTAATTAAAATTGAATGTTGGATTGATTAATTGATTGAATGTCTGGGTATTTAATATGCTATCAGGTCTATTGGTTTTATCGCTTTTTAGACTGTTGAAGAGGTTGGTGAGCTGTGATACTCAAAAGCGAATACTAAAAACTAAGAAGAAGAACTAGAAGAACTTTGGAGGGTTGTAAAACTCTCAACTTAGTACCTTAAAAATTCAAGTTAGACTTTAAAAATGCGCTCGCTGAATTAACTTCAATCTTCGCCTGTAACTTACTTTTTCTTCGTCGTTAGCCAAACAAATAGAAGATTTTTTTAAGCTTTTTGAATTTGTTTCTTTTGTTTGTTTAAGTTGAATTTTCCTATTCAAGATATTTTTTTCGAAATCTTTCGACAACATGTGTGCTCACATGAGCTCTGTCTTCTGCATAAATATGAATAGAGAGCTTTCATGACATCTAAAAAAGTTTTTTTTAAAAGAGTTTAATTTTTCTGTAGAAAGGGATTTTGTTTATCTTATTCTTAACATTGTAGTCTTGATTTTTTTGCAGAGAAGATTTTTGGATTTAAATGAAATATTTTCTTGGATAAGTTTCTTAGATAAGTTTCAATTTAGATTCAAATTTTGCTTCTGATATTTTTTTGCTTCTGATATTTTTTTAAGTTTTGAACGGTTTTTCCTCTGTCAAAGCTGACGAAATCTACAAAATCTCAAGAGTCACAATTTACAAAAATGTAATGACACCCTCAAATATAACTTAATCTTCCTAATCTTTCACACAACAAATTAATAAAAAAAATGGCAAAAACATTTTAAAAACTCATTCCTTCAAATATTACACAAAACACAAACACACATCCTTACAAAACAATTTGCAGGTACTCTTAAAAAAATGTGAAGGAGCTGAAATTTTCCATTCCTCACCTTTCACATTCCTTAATACTTTCACTTCAAAAAAAAACAACTTTTTTTCCTTGCGTCATTATCATTTCATTAAGCTTCTACCTCCTACACAATGGATAACATCAGCAGTATCAGCACAAATTGCATTTCATGGTTATGCTCATGGATACAAAAAAAAAACAAATATTGAAGTGAGAGAATTTCAAGGTGTAGTCTATGAAAAGCTACTTAACAACAAAAAAGCTTAATCTGTAGGAAAGAGCTTGCTCATGTTTTATTTGGTTTTTGTGAAGCAGGCAGGCTGTTATAAGAGGTGCTCTAATAAACTTTGAATACCACAGGTAAACTTCATAACTTCTACCTTGGAGGGAATGATTTTTCTTAAATTCTATCTTCAGTCACGAATCTATAAAGTGCAACTCTGGCAAAAAGTATAAAAGTCTTTATTATGCTGTTTTTAACACTGTTGACCAGTATAAGATACAACTTTGTTAACAATTTATCCTCAAATACTCTTAAAATAATAATAAGGAATTTAATTATGCAGCAATGCGCTCTAAGCTGATAAAAATAGAATCTCATCCGTACCAGTCTTGTGTTTCTGAATGTTTTTGACGCCAACAAGGAATATTTTTAATCAAAATTTTATTCTTAAAGCACCACAGCATTCACACCAACACAATCATTGAAGCTGTTAGCTTCGCTAATATTAATATTGTACTTCAAATAAGCTTTATTGCTTTAAGGAGCTTCTTATAGGAACAACTTTTGCAAGAAATGAGGAAAGTAAATTAGCGATATCATCAAAATGCTGATGAGTACTGTTAATACCGCTCATTTCTATCTTATTCTTGTTTGTATACTCTGCGATGATTTTCATTCCATTTTTCCATCATAAAATTTTTATTTGATATTTTCATATTTTTTGACTGTGACAATGATAAAGCATTCCCTTGACAGTATTTGAAAGGAGGAAAAATATGAAAACATATGAATTTTAATATGACTAGCTGACTGACTCACTGACTTGGTGGCTGTCTGTGTGATGGGTTTATGATGGTTTTGATGGATATAATAGAAATTTGGAATTTTTCAACTGTCAACTCACCAAGGTTAAAGAGTGTATGCTTAGTCAATGTGTATGAAGTTGTTAAGAAATGACGTCAATTAAAAAATAGATTTATACACTCAAAAAATTAATTTAATTCATCCAATTTTGAATGAAGTATCAAACAACTTTAAGCTTTTGCTCCTATTCCTTAAAAATTAAGTTTTCTACGAAGTCGGCATTTATAAACAGCCCCTTTTTCCAAAAACACAATTTCCTGCGTTAAATCCTCCCACATTTCACAACTTATTTGCTTTCTACTTGGCAACTTCCTCAACTCACAGGAAGAGGAACATAAAAAGGAAAAATATATTGTTATTTGTATCAGGCAACTCCTCAAACTTGGATGCAAAACATTCTACCTTGATTTTTGACAGGTTTATTTGCATAACATTTGAAATTTATGATTCCATTCATTAGTACTTAAATGAAATGGAAATGAAAGAAAAGCAGAAGAAGGAACAGAAATTTTAAAAGAAACACAAAACAAATGAGGGATTTTTTTTCCATTGTTTGTACTTTATATAATCCATTTATTCTGAATTTTTCCTTTTTATGCTCATTTTTCTTTTATTGCTGTTTGTTTTTGTATTTTTGGAACTTTTGAATTAGCAAAAAAAATCATTAATTGAAATTAATAAGAGTTTCTGTTCTAAAATGTTAAGTTGGCAAAATTTTAATTAATGCTTATTATTGTTTTTTCTGCTAATCTTGTTATGCAAAAAAATATGGTGGATTATTGCTCTAAAAATAATTGAGTTTTGAAAGAAAAAAAGCGAAATTAAAGACATTTTGGACTGATGAGGACTTTGTCGAAAAGAAGGATTCAACAATTTAAGAACAAAATTTTGAAGTCTTAAAGTAAGAAGTTTCCATGAAAGTAAACACAACATTTTTAATGACGCAAATCAAATCAGAAACCTTTCTTGTTAACCAAATAATTTCCATCTGATTTGTTAAATTCCTAAAGTCTCAACCCTTACTAATTGAATTGAAATAAATTTACCTACCAATTCTATTGACATTAACAGCATTAGTTAAATTTCTCGGAAGGAAGAGTTTGCCTTTTGACTTGTGGCATTATTTTTTATATTTGTAGGTACATTTTTAAGTAATAAAATACATCCACAATAAAATCGTAAAGATTTGAAAATATTCTAAGAAGATACAAGGTTAAAAATTGTGTTTTATTGTGACTTTTAGAGATGTAAAGATATTTTGCCTTGATGTAGGCTTAAGGTGGGTAGAATTTTATTATGTAATGTTTTAGAATATGCTATCAGTTCTGTTGAAGCGATGTTGCATGTTTAAGTAATTCTTATAGGTATACAGCCTGTGCAAAATATGACAAGATAATCACGTCTTTGAACAAAAAGTTCTCAAATATCCTTAAAAAATTTAACAATATTAAATAACGTAAATGAATTTTTGATAACTCTGTTTTAAGTTTGTCATGCTGATTTTTATTAATTGCGACAAAAGGAATGCTTGACCTTTACTTTAAGGCTTGGTTTTAACCAAAGAAATTCACCGAAGATTATGAATTTTAACTTAAACGATGTAGGATTGCTCACAAATGGCGACCAAAAATTATATGATATTCTGACTTCACCACTGCAATTTTTAAGTCCATTCAGCATCAAACCAACTCCTTCTCACATTATATTTTTGACGTCAAATGCTATTTACAGAATCCTAATGCTTGCTCTTTTGATTCACAAAAAAGATTCGTCTCGGATTTCATTTTTTAAATTTGCTTCGAGTAAAACTTGATCTAATTTTGGAATGCTGACAGTTTTAATTATATTCTTGCGTCAAAGAATAGGAACAGTAAGAAAAGATTTCATAAAGACAGACACTTTTGATGAAAAAAGAAAAAAATTTAAGCAATAATTTTAAGCAACATAAAAATTCAGCCAAAGGTAAGAAAAATCGATTGAAAAACTTTTCTAAATACGGAATTAATTTATTTTAATTTACTAAATTGGTATTTGAACCGCCCTAGTTTTTTCTCATTCTCTTCCAATTTCTTTAAATCTAACAATTAAATGTTTAGAATTGCCTTAATTAAATCAGAAAACAGTTTAATTTACGGAAATTTTCAGATTGCGATTTTTTCATTTAACCCCTTTTTCTTATCCCTCATTCACTGTCTCATTCTAATTATTCTTGGCACATTAAATTTATTTAATTTATTTTTGTGTTTCTCTTTGTCTTGATAAAATACAACGAGCATTCAAGGAATGAAAAGAGGCAAATTGAAAAAAAAAAATCATTAAAAACTCTTTAAAAGAAGAAGAAAGATAAAAATTGAAAATTTCAGTTATTTGTGCGATAGCGACGCATTTCATTGCTAAGTATATTTAAGCCTGGGTGACATAAACACATTAAATCCTCTTAGATAGATTTATAATTTTTTTTCAAGACACTATGGTTTTTAATACCTTAAAACGCCCAATCAACCAACCGAGACAGTCAAAGGTGTTCACACTCAAAGCACAGATACAAATCTTAATGTTTGGTTTTAAAAAACAATCGTGTTGAAAA